ATTGGAGCATAAGTTTTTGTGGGTGAATACCCACTTCGTCAGACACATGTGAGTATGTATCCTCTATTACAGTTTCCACCTTTATTTAATCAGGTTATGATTGTTGCAGGAATAAACTGATTGCTTCAATATTCATTTGATTACAGTACAGACAGTAATTAGAAAGAGCTGACGTAATTATAATGACTTGTCTGCCACTGACTATTTTAGATTTCTGAGGGTGGAAAAAACACCATGGCCAGATCCAAAGCAGGTATCAATGGATGTCACTCCCATTAACATCAGCTGAGGATATTAAATTCATCCCATTCTTATTAAATTCAGCAAATGAAGTTGTCTCTTTACAACAGCTAAAATTATTCCTTTTCTTAGCAAGTTGCATAGTGCTAGGTATCCAAGTGTTCGAAATACAGGTAAAGAATTAGAACCAGATCATCAGCAGGTGTAAATCAGTGCAAATGAGATAAGTCAATAACAGAAGCTGAAGAACTGGCCCATAAAAAGTATATGAATCTTAAAGAGGCTATTTTCTAATAGAGTAAATAGAATTGTGGTTTCATAATCTGGGGTTTTTAATCCATAAAGAGCTGTAGTTGCATGTTACTGTATAAAATCCAGGTTCACATCTAACCAGAGCTAGGCTTTTCTGAGAGGTGAAGAAAAACAGCAAGCTAACTATTTTAAGTTATACAATAACAGGATAATGTAGTGTACTCTAGAACTATAAAAATTCCCTTTAGTAGGTTTTAATCTGATTTACTCAACTATAAAATAAATTAATACTTGGGGAGACTGTCAATATTAGTTAGATTATCTACTATTCTTAATTCTTATGTATATTTTTTTCAGCTGAATTGAAACCTGACTTACATCTCCTAGCAGCTCCATAATGTTAATGGGCATGTAAAGAAAGTAAGAGGAAATGCGTGTTTTGGTTCTAGAATATAAATATCAAACAGACCTATAAAATTATTGTCCTATCTTGTTTTCCTGTTACAATCAATGGAATTGTCCACATAGGAGCAACTAGCAGTGTATTGTGTGAAATCCAGACATTGTTTGATAATTGGTAAAGATATTTAGGAGTAGTCACTGAGTAATGCTCTTAAGGTGTACATCTGACACTTTCTAGGCAACATTTTACTTGAAAAGAAATTGGAATTATTGATGACGTGTCAACTTTTTTTTAATGTAATGAATATGTTGAAGACTAACTCATAATATCACTTCTACTGGGTTGCAAAAAGGCATTGATGTCAATATGGGCACTTAATTCACTATTTAAGACACTTATCCAACTGAGGCCTGGTCTATACTTAAAAATTAGGTTGACCTAGCTACATTTCTTAGAGCTATGAAAAATGTAGTGTCCTGTGTGATGTGGTTAGGTTGAATTCTTCTGTTGACCTAGCTACCACCTCTCAAAGAGGTGGATTAACTACATTGATGGAAAAACTCCTTCTGTTGATAAAGGAAGTGTCTACACTGTAGCGCCACAGTAGTACAACTTCACCATAGTATCTGTGCCGCTGAGTGTAGGCATACCCAAAGCCA